CTACTTGACTAGAAGAACCAGAAGAGGATACATTTATTGCAAATTGAATCTTCATACATATAAATTAACAAGTCCAGACATCATCAAGGTGGAAAGAAGGGGATTCGCGCGACGTACAACGTATACTTATTGAGAATAAATTACAGACGACTGCTTATGAATTTGGATCGGGATTCGGGCGATAAGCAACACGCAACAATCCAGCGGATCACGCGTCGCAATAATATAAATCGAGACACACAATTCACTTTTGCATAATGACGCCACGATCTATTCGCGCGTGAGAGCAGAATTAATCTTTCGCGACAGAAACTTTTTGCGCAGAGAAACGACACAGAAAAAGCCACTCTATAAATAAAAGATGCAAGAAACATAGCGGTGGCAACTGTGCTAATTCGATGTTGGCTGCAACGATCTCTCTTGCGTAAAATAGTACTCGAATTAGTAAACTATTCCCGAAATGCTTGCTAACACGAACCATTATGTCTGAGTTAACATCTCTCAATGGTCATATTTGTCGGTCACGATTAGTAACGTTGTGGCGAAGACAGATGCTTTCTGGATGACTTGTCAACACTTATATAAATGCTCTCTCGTCGTCGAAGCCGCCGCAAAAATCGTTTTATTTTTACTTTTATTTTATACAGGGTGAACATTCCGACAAGACTTCGAGATTTTGCAAAAAAATTTAATTCTAAATAAAAAAAATCCTAAAACATGTATCGAAAAATGCTTCCTTAAAAAAGTTAATGCCTTAAAACCTCTAAAATCACAGGTTTTTTTTACACATTTTTACAAGATTCAGGGAAAGTATATGTTTTTAAAAAAGTAATAAAAATAATAAAAGTAAAGAATTAAATTATCTTTTAAATAAGATGAAAATGACAATATAATACATTCCATAAGTCTTTTGAAATAATCATTGCAGTTTCAAATTTTACAAAAAGTATTTTTTCGATTGACGATAAAGCTTTTCAAAAACTTTATTTATACTTTTACTCTTTATTTATAAGACCTAAGGCCTAACAATAATATATAAACGAAGAATATTTTTAAGAAGTTATCAATAGTCCCAAACAACAGTTTTTTATATTTGAAATTGGCTACCTTAAAACCTATGTACAATCATTTTGATTTCTTTTGAAAGATAATATATCTCTCTCTGATATTTGTAAAATATAATATTTATAAAATAACCATATCAAAAATAGTTGGGCACTAATTTTTTAGGAAACATTTTTTGATACATGTTCGTGGGAAACTGTTTGGATCCACCCCATATTATGTGGATTAAAAACAAGAATATATTGTCCGCGATTATATTGTACAAAATTTCGGCAGAAAATGACAAGGATCCTCAAAATTGCCGGGAATATCACGCATAAAACATTCGCGTGTTTGCCATATTAATGACACTCTTATGACTGCAAATTATGGACACCGCATACCAATCCGACGCGTCCGTATTCACCTTGCAAGCTTCCTCTCTTGCAATTCGCATACGTAAAATGAAGATATCAGAGCTCGCTTCGACCTGCCATACCTCCTTACACACGTCGACCTTTATTATAAGATGCCCTTTAAACTCCATGCACGTGAGAGCAACCGCGCGCATAATTTTAATGTGTAAGAGTTCATTTCCCCATATCGTATTCTCTTTTGCTCGTATTCTTCTGTTGTTCGAAAGAAGTACATAAAATAGGAATGGCTGTACAATAAAAGCCATAGAAAATGTAGCGCGTATATTATTTGTATCCGAAAAAGTCACTGAAAAATCGCGATATCGCAATGATCGCAATTCTCGCTTCAATACTCCGATTAAATTTAATGAAGAAATAAATGATAGTTAAAAAGTTGAAATGCTCTATTTTGAAATAAAAATAATTTCAATGAAAGTATAAGTATAAAGCCAAGAATTCAGTTGCAAATAATACAGTTCAGTTATAAGTTCTATAGTTCTGGTGCAATTGAATAAGAAGTTACAAGTTACACAATTCAAATACAATTTAATAAAAAATTTAATGTGACAAATAATTTAATTTAAGATATAAGGAATTTAAAAAACAATCATGTTAAATATAGATTTGAGACTTCTGTTTTCAAAAATGATTATCATTTAAGAAAAATTCTGATTGTGATACACAACATAGAGGATATACTAGATGAATTGATTATACTAACAGTGGCGAGAAAAGTTCGATCTAATCAGTGTACATGAAAAATGAGTAAAATTTTACACTTATAATTCACTAACTGGCATGCCAGCGAGGCATATGGAATATAATTTTAACAATTAAAAATACAAATAGAAACGGTTTTAATAAAATTAAAAATTTAAGTAAAATAAATATCAAAGAGCTATTCGAGTTAGTTATCTTATACAAAAATGTAATGTTATATAAATAAAATTACAATAAATCTAAACAAAACATTTTGATCTTTAATTTGGATATCTTCAGTGATTATAAAAATATAAAGTATATATTGTCATCGATTTGTCAATACATTTAACAATTATACTGTTGAATATCAGAAAAGCTTTCTTCATTGCTCTCCAATTTTCTTCATAATATTGTCGCATTGAACAGATCTTAGAACAATTATAATAATATCGTGCGTAATTTTAACTATAAGTTTTAAGAAATATAATAATAATATCGTGCGTAATTTTAACTATAAGTTTTAAAAAATGACACTAATTATTAGACACTATTTTTAACCGTAATTTGAATATATAAATATTTACTATAAGTTTTAATACTGAGAATGACCTAAAAGTCGAAATGTCGAAACTTTTATTTTTATAGGATACGAATTTTAAAAGATTAATTTCGCAATAACCACTAGTGTTGACTTTCACGCTCCCTTTTTATTATTAATTTATTCACAAAGTCTTGGTCAGTTTATAGATAATTTAATAGCAAAAATCAGAGTGATAACGATATTGGTGATATTAAATTGAATAAATAGTAAAGTGGTCGACTTTAGATTGCTGTTTGCAGTCTGAGATTTTTCAGGGAAATGATTTCTCAGAGTCGTCAGATTCGATTTTGCAGAGCGCGTGCTCCGTCCGACCGAAGGCGGTCTGTGCAAACTTACCATGACTGCACGTGTGCGCCTATATGTCACCTAATGTCGCAGTTGTTGGCTGTTCAGCAGGGGCATGTCTACGAAGGAGGCAATCAGAGCGGCTGGCGTCGAGACAAAACTTGAAATCGTTGTCTCTCTCTCTCTCTCTCTCTCTCTCTCTCTTTTCTCTTTCTCTCGTTGTGTCGTTGCACCCTGCACAGTCAACACGAATCACACCATACGTAAACACATACACATTGAGAGATGCGTGACGCAAACGCGCGCGTGCATACGCCTCCTCCACTTTTCCACACACAAGATTCGTACGCAAAATTTTCTACCTTTTCGAATCTCCGGTACAATCGAGGAAGACTATCCGAAGGATTCCCGCGCGATTTTCAACATTGATACCGAGAGAGGAATCGATCAGTAGGTCAATGGGGGAAGAACGCGCGCCACCCCCTCGGAAGAAGTCACGTTTCCGACGACGCGTTTGCTTTTTTTTGAAGAAAGAACGCGTGGCCGGCTCATGTGTGATCACTAGCCAGTTAAGAAGGCAAGAGAAGCGACGGACGGATTTTCAACCTGGCGAACACCGACTGAGCCCACGACCGGCAGGTAGGTGAGCCGTTGCCCCTCCACCGATCGCTCGGTGCCGCACCACCACCGGTCGCCGCTCACCGTATTCTCCATTCTCATTTCCTTCGCTTCACTTGCCTTCTGCCGCTCCTTCTACTTCTCTCCTTCTTCGTCCTCTTTCGTTGGCTTCACTTCTCTCTCCGCACGTACGCGCGTTCCCTTTAGAGTAGCTCAGAGACGGCTGTACCGTCGGGCGAACTGGGTGACCACTCATGTGAAAGTGCATCATCGTGTTCGACTGTAACGATCGCGATGATGCACTTTCGTGAGTATCTTTGTAAATGCTTTCGTCGAGATCCTTGCTGCGAAGACCTCCCACATTATAACGTTAGGCTCTCGCAAACGCTGAGAAAGGCAACTAGAGAGAGAGAGAAAGTTGTATAAATATACTTCTTGAATCTATTTCTTGAATCGTCGAAGTCAGTTCTGTAAAAAAATCTTGCTCATTTATTTCCGCCAAATCGTAAAACATACTTTTAACGTCTATAAAATCTCTGTTCCTACATATTTTATCCTTAAATCGAAGAAGAAATTCAAACGCAAAAACAAGCATTCTGCGTTAAAGAAAAGCAGATCTTTGCTCAGAAAGTACTATATTTCTACTATAGAAACTCTTATTGACGAAACGCATCAGGATATCATAACATAAAACACGTCCACCTTAAACTATAATTAATAATTTACAAAAGTCTCATATTTACAGAAGCTTTTGCGTGCACAAGGGCTTCGTATTAGACTATGAGAAGGCTATAAGATTTCATCGCATGTTAAATATCTATAAGCGCTTTATCACCGAAGCCCTTGTATGTACAATAGCTCGCTCAATGAAGTAGAGCCTCGTATTCATTAGTAGTAAATACATTGCCTAGGGCACCGTTAACTCTGAAGCCGCCTCTGTCTCCCTCCGTATGCTCGTGGCTTATTAACGCACAAGCGGACCATAGTCATCATGTTCTATCTGCGTTAACGAGATTACGTCCCACATAATTATATGCCTTTCGATGAAGGATTGTTACGGTCAAACTATATGTAGTTACGAACAGTTTCAATATTTTGCATGAAATCGTAATAGTTATAAATTTTAAAATACAAAATACAATTGCTAATCTGTTCATTCTTGCATTATATAGTTTAATATGCTTTTTTTAATTAATTAATTTTAGATGAAGATTAACAAAATCTACAATTTAGCTTTTTAGAAGCATGTATAACATATAAGTGAAACATTAAACCTCATAATCACAATGATAGGAAAATACAGGTTTGTTCAATTATTACAATGTGTATATCTATAACTATACATATTATTTTATTATATATAGTCCTGTGAACAAATTTAATGAGATGCGATAACAGCGTCTTGCCTTGCTTCTTCTTCTTCTGCTTCTTCTGTTACTTTATCTTCAGATAGATACTGTTCAAAGTCAACTTTAAACTTTTCTGGCGATGGCGAACACGTAATTAGAGCTCTATTAAAATATAATAATTATAATTATTTATTTGTAAATGAGAACATGATCATTTTAATGTGAATGATTTTCAAAATTACCTTGTGATGAAAGGTCCTGGTCGACGTGGTCTCGCTTTGTTGACATCTTTAATAATGATAGCAAAATTCTCCTCCAACTGTTTTGTGTCCATATCAAGCTATAATATATGAAATTGATTGGTAATTTTTTGTAAATCATGATAAAATATATAATTCGCACCAATCAATATCTATTTATAAATACAAAACTACCGTTCCAAATGCAATATCGACGGTTCCAAAAGACTTAAGAATTTCATGTGGCTTTCCCATATATTTCATACCAGTTGAAAACTTCGTTATCATTGTTTTTAAATCAGTATCCAAAGTACCTAGTAGAATAATTTATATGATAAAGAATATAAATAACATTTATTTTAAAACAGATGCAAATCGTTCAATTTCGTTTTCACAAATCTTGTACAAAGTTTATATTTTAAACCGGACTAATAATATTTTTTTAATTAAAAAGTACATATGCTGCTTCACATTTTATTAACAAAGCATGAAATTCAATGCGAAGCGTTTTTATAAAAACGCTTGAATTTCAGATATTACTAAGTGCATACTTTCTGTTACTATTGTGCTACATGTGTACTACTTTCTACGCTAACAATGTATTTATGTAGTACACTCATGAAGAGCACACAATACATTACAAAGATGAAAATTTAAAAGTATAATTACATATTTTCACTAACCTGATTTAGCACTGGGAAATCTTTTTCTCATAAGTCCCCTAATTAATAACAAATCAGGTAAAATAGTTGGTTCTGACAAAATAATATCGTATTCCTTCATTGAAAATTGTCCATTCTAAAATAGAATGTCATCAATTATTAAACAATAATCTCTGCAAGCTTATTATATAATATATAGTACATATAACAAACAATACATAAGCAATAATATGCTGTAAGAAATAATATCTCACCTGAATCTGTTTTATTAATTGTTTACCACCAACATAATCAGCTCCAGCATTTCTTGCAATCTCTTCCATTTCGAGACTCTTACAGAATACTAGTAGTTTTCTGGTTTGACCATGATCGAATACATGTGGTAGACATACTATTCGTGTAAAAGGATCGACAAATTTTGTCTTTTTCACACCCTGATAACATATAATTATACATTTAGCACAATCTTATATATCATATATCTTGCATAGACTTCTTCTTCTTATTCTTACTTGCATATCCAATTCTAGAAATGCTTTTATAGGTTCATTTGGCAAATTATATATAGTGGGATGATGTGTTTCACGATGATTCTGAACTGCTTCTTCAAATGAATCAATTTTCCATTTATGATATCTTGAAATCCATACATTATCTATTGGTTCGGGCTTCTTACTGTCATCTGGTGAAATATCCTTTAGCTCGAGTGTCTTCTTTACACCTGTACTAATATCGCAAGAGTGCAATATTAATATATTATAATAGTGTAATAGTATTATATATTTTTTCATATATATGATATGAAGATGTGCTTACACTTTCATTCTCTGATCATGCGGGATGAAGCCCACCTTTTCAATGACCTTTTTGATTTTTTTCTTCCTTGCTTTTTCTCTCGTACCTTTTCTGGCAGCATAATTTCGCGCTTGTAGGAAACTGATTAAGGGATAAAAATTAAAACACGATGCGTGTCTATACATCGTGGAAAGATTGTTTAATAACCAACCTGTAAAACGAAACGGTTTTTAAAAATGTATAACATCGTCTTAATTATTGTACTGAATGAAAAAATATAATTTTATTGTAAGGTTATGACAAAAACTCTCTCATGAAAAAAGCACCAATTATGGAAATCTTCTTGTTTATTAAATAACAAACAAGAAGACATTTAATCAGTTATTTTTTCATATATTATTGATGTAATATTAAAAGACAAGATAAGGCATGTACCATTAACCGCTGTCATGTCTTATCAAGCACAAGAACAAGCAGAAGAAACGGAGCACAAACTAATTGCTCCATAGATAGCGCTGATAGCGTCGATAGCGATTTCGCACTTTTACGACATGAAATCTATTCTTTTTAGTTGAACTTGCGATTGATCTCTTTTTCTTCTTAAAAAAGAACAGACCTATGGCTACTTCCTTCTTTATTACTTGTTAAAAGACAAATGATGTATCATGCGCTTCATACGGAATTGCTCGAAACGCATCTAAAAATTACTTTAATCAATTTTTAAAAGCACCACGCTATCTCGATTAATTATTTCAAATTAATTTTTAATTATTACTTAGCTATCCAATTTACAAACATTTTAAATGCATTATTCTACATTCATATCATATATTAAGTTATATTTTATCCATATATATATATA